AATCTGGGATGTTTAACCTTTTAGTTAATACATTGACAAGTTGCAAGGTTGTGGACATGTACGGTGTACACATCAAACCACTATCTAGTTATTTTTTTTTTTATAAATGTTTGTCAACCTCAATGTGCTTGATTATGTCATTTTGTACTGAATTATGGACAAATATTAATTGTCAATTTGTTGTCGCAATAAAGTCTCATGTTCCTATTCCATTTGATTTTAGGATCTTCTGTATCATCTTTAACCACAGTATTCCGCATACTCCTTGAACCACTGGTAGAACTCTGACTCTACATTAACCATGGTACCACATTTTGCTTGTTACTCCACCATGTGACCCGATTCCCTCCAAAAAAGGTATAATAACTAGTTGTGGACCTTCTTGCTACCAAAGATCCTGCATAATCTGCATCTGTATATATTTCAAGAAGTACCCTGTTTTTTCTTTTGAACATAATACCTTTATTTGGTCTCTCTTTCAAGTAGTGGAGTACGTGTATGCTGCTTACAAGTGTGTTCCTTTGGATTTATGCATGAACTGACTTGTTATTATCTATCACAAGTATATCATCCAAGTACACCAGGAGAGTGTAATCCCCCCGAGTTTGAATACTTAATAAACATGATATGTTCTCCTTGATGTATGTCCCTTCGAATCTTTTAGAGTCTTTGAGAGAATTTGGAGGTGGGAGGGAATGTCACGTGGAGGTTCTCCGAAATCTTAACAATTGGGAAATAAATGATTATGTTTGAGCTCTTTATTTTCCATGCCATTGAATGAGAGTCTTGATCAACCTATTTGGATCCTTAACCTAAGTGGGACTTTTTCGGTAGGATCAAGAATTGCTTTCTTTGCTTAGGAAGCGGGACATGGATGTACTTTGACCATCGACAAGCTGGTAAGGAGGAGAAAGATTTTGGTGAAAAGGTGCTGTCTTTGTAGAAGGGCAGAAGAGACTTGTGATCATATTTTATTATGGTGTCCCTTGTGTATAATTCTTGGTGCATGGCCAAGAAGACGCCTGTTTCTGACTCTCTTCTAGAGTCCTTGGGCACTCGATCTTTGCTTTGAAGTCATTAAAGTTAGCAGTCAGCTCTTGCCCTTGTTGGTTGGCCATGTGTGCCTGTCACTGAGATGTCAAGGAGTTATTATTGTATTCCCACTCTTTGCTGGAGGTGGTTGGCTTCTTGTGGAGATTCCAACATTTGTCCTTTGTATGCTTCGGTTTTCTGCAGAAGGTAGACTAAAAGTTATCCATGCTCTCTCTGCCAATGGTTGTTGGATCATTTTGACTCAGCTCCTTCGCTTGTTGGCGTGGTTTGGAGTCTTTAGTTGTCATTGCTGAGTTGTTAGTGGAGTGAGGTTCCAGTATCACCTTCTCCTGCTTTCTTATGCAACAAGAGATATTACCTCTTTCAGTGATGACATTTTTTCTTTCCTCATGATCTGAACTCTCATATGATCATATTCTTACATTGAGTCCTGCCATGAATTGATATTTCCTATCCTTTTTAGGATTGTCGCATCTTTGCTACAATCTATAGTGAGATAACAATATTGATCAAGTTCTTGCCACTAGTTTTTCCGTATGTTGGCATACTCTATAACTGATCTGCTTCCTTGTCTCGCTGACCAAGTCTTTGTGTTTAGATCATAGATATAGACTGCATCCTTCACTTGGGAATATAGTTCTCTGACCACTTCCAAACTTTCTAAGCAGTGGGTAGAAACATAAAAGTGTTACTTATCCCTGGTGATATTAAATTCAAGAGTCAAGCCATTGTCATATAATTTTTCTCATCCTAGATATCAAATTGTGGATCGCTTGGTTTAGGTCCGGCCTAGAATATAGCTGAGTTTATCTTTCCTTTAATGATGGTCTGAATCAGTTGTGACCAATTCAGTTAATTTTTTCAATTCAGGCAATGGACAGCCTTAATTGGTTGAAATTCTCCATTGAATTATTGTGAATTCATCATGTTGAGGTTTGTGACATGAGACAAAATTTCCAACATTATCTGAAGTTTTCTGGCAATTAAGGTCAGTTGATAAAAGAAAAAAACAGCAGGACAACAGCATTGGCTAGGTGGTTGCTGTTGCAGGAGTGGCTGAAGCTGGTGCAGCAGATGTGCAGATGGGCAACTGGGTGTTGAGCGTGCGGTTGGGTGGCAAGCGGTTGGCTGGACGTTGTTGGATGCACGGTTTTTGGGCACACGCAAAGTTGGATGTGTGGCTGGATGAGATGCGCTGCTGGGTGGGTGCCTGTTACAGAAAGCAGCAGCTGGAGGCAACTAATTTTTTTCCCTGGCGATTGGTTATGAAGGCAGGCAGTGGTGGTGTTTGTGGTGGCAGGCTATGAAAGCTGGATCCTTTTAGGGTTGTGTTTTTCTTATTTCGACAATGAAAGTCGATTAGGTTATGCAGAGGAGAGCTGAAGTTTTTTCCTAAAGCTCTGACATTATGTGGAAGAATAGAATATCATATGTATTATGAATATTAGGACCATATATATACACATTCTTATGAATAAAAAGGAAACATACAATCAATCATATATGAAGGTAATTTACTAAATAATTTTTGCCTAATTATACATATTTACATTTTCCAACGATACATTTTCTAACTCTACTGTGCTGTTTCAGGTTTTCCTTATATCTACTCGAGCTGGTGGGCTTGGATTGAATCTTGTAAGTGCAAATCGTGTTGTCATATTTGACCCGAACTGGAATCCAGCACATGATTTGCAGGCTCAAGATAGGTCATTTCGATTTGGTCAGAAGCGGCATGTTGTGGTTTTCCGCCTTCTTGCAGCTGGTTCACTTGAAGAGCTTGTTTATTCCCGTCAAGTTTATAAGCAGCAGCTATCAAATATTGCTGTGTCTGGGAAAATGGAAAAACGATACTTTGAAGGTGTTCAGGTGCATATATCAACCTTCCCACTCTATGTTAGGTGGGTTTGTGTTGGGTCATCTGGTTTTCCTATCATTTGAATTTGTTTTCTCATTTGCATATGCCTTTACCTTCATTAGGATTGCAAGGAGTTCCAAGGAGAGCTTTTTGGAATCTGTAATCTATTCCGAGATATTTCTGATAAGCTATTTACCAGCAATATCATTGAATTACATGACAAACAAGGGCGTTTTGTTCATGATCAAAATGTAAAGCATGAAACAACTGAACTTGGGGCTTATACTTCATCTAAAGACGGTGTAACAGGATCCAAGACCAAACAACCTAGTGATCTAGAAGAAACTACTTCCCAGAAGCTGGCACTTGAAGAATTCGGTATAGTTCTTTTTCCTCTTGTTTTCATTGTTGTCTTCCTCGTGTTCTCTTATTGAAATGATTACTGGGTGCTGGTGGCTAGAAAATCGTCCTGGCAAATGCTCATAAACTTTTATATGGACCATAGGTAGCACAAGCATGCAAGTTTTTGGTTTCAAATTGTTTGTGCTTATTCTCCTCCAGGGTGGCATATGGCTGGGGTATCCTCTCTCCAGCAGGGATTTCTATAGATAATTTATAATTGCTTGCAAAAGAAAAGGTGGAAACTTGCCTCCATTTGGACTTCTTAATGCGGTGTTGTTGCCCTGTGTAAGTTGGCTGATGACTCTTACCATTTTTAATGTCATGAGGATTTGGAATAACCTCAAGATAATAATATATAGATATGTGTATATATAGGTAGAGAGAGAAGGAGAGAGGTGGGAAGAGGATGATACCAGTTGTGTGAAAATAGGCATTTTTTTGCTCATCAGGAATTCTCTTTGTAGTATAATTTGTTGTTACATTTGGATTTGACTGGGGCAACTTCTTACCATTGACTGGTGCTCTCGATTTACAGGTATCTTGTATGCACATCGTAATGAAGATGTTGTGAATTATGGACCTGGGCTCCAAGGAATGATAAAAGCTAGCGTTCCTCAGGATGATAACTCGGGGCAGACAATTATCCCTGTTGTAAAGAAAAGAAAACAGTCTGATGTAAATGGGAAAGAGAATATTTCGTCATCTAAAGACCAGAAAAAGATCCAATATAATCTCATTTCTCAGTTCGTGGGTATGGAAGTGATAGAGTTTAGCAAGTGGGTACTGGCTGCTACCCCATCAGAGAGGGAGAAAGTCCTACGTGACTATAAGAAGAGAAAAGAGAAGAGACCGAATGGATGAAGAAGAATGGACTGATTGGCTCCTTCGGTCCTTCATTCACATTGTATTATATTACCAAAGAAAAAAAAATTGTATACATGAATATTTTGATTATAGTATAGTTGCCTAGAATGACAGTCATAACGGTTTAGGTTGGATATGATTGTGGTCAGTCAGCATGATGATGGCGTTTTGATTCTCATGTTCAAAATGTTAGTGGAGACAAGGAAGGTTTGTACGGATTAAGAATTATTTTAGTGAAAAGTTAATACATTTTGATAATTAGTTAATATTTATAGATGAATAATAACAACAACTAATTTTATAATGAGGACAGACATATAAAATTGTTTTCTGTTACTCTTGAATTGAAGAGCACTTACATGACCAATGACGGCAGTTTTAAAGAGGAGAGGTCCCACAAAATAATATGAATAACTTGACTTCAATATAATTACAATGTATTATTCTAATTTTACATATGAATAAAAATTAAAATACACTGTGTCTTCCTAAAAGATATAAGATTAAGATTCTTAGTTGTCCTAGCATATATCTTCTAATTGAACTGTCTATAAATGTATAAATAAATTTCACAAAATTTTAATTCATACCAAAAAAGCTTAAATACAAATTGATGACATTTCAAATTTCATATAGACTTATTCCATTTTTACATAGATTTCTTATGAATAAATTATTTTATCATCGTAGTTATCCTAATACAATGTACATCATCTCCTAATTGAACACGTACGAGCTTACAAACTTAAATGATGTAAGTTTAAATACAAACAATTGAGAAGTTCTTATGCATCAAAAAGAAATTTTCTCATAAGATCCGTAATAACCGAGAAAATATTTTCCTGCATCCGGATGTTAATGCACATTAGATGTTTAAAAGGTTGATGCAATCTTCTATTTTTAAATCTTTTTACATTTTACCAATAAATTACAAACCAAAAATGATTATAAGATGAGGACGGTAGCTGACAACCTTCTCTTGTAACACCGCTTCATTGACATTGATCCACTATGTCTACGCCGCTTGGGATATAAAAGAGGCACGATTTTCACAGTCATCTATATTCAGGTATCGAAAACTACCTTCTTTGCATCTTGAATCTAGAAACTGGCTTGGAAGGTTGAGCACCGGATGACTAACAGACAAAATCATTGAATTTGAAATCAGCAACTGATATAAACAGCCATGCTATAGGTTATTGAACAGATGCACATGTTAGGCATACCAGCTGAGAGGAAGTTGCATTTTTCCCCTGTGCGTTTGTTTCTAAATTCTGACTGCGCTCAATGATGGAACCTGTGAAAGCCTGTATGCAGTGTATAACAAAAAGAGGATAAGTGCCTGTTAGAAAAACACTCAATTCACTTGACTGACAAGATAACAACAACTGTTGGAGATGTACCTTAGAACTGTCAAATCCAGATTTTGATTTTGGGACAGGTTCCTGCCAAAAAGATTAAAATGAAAGATCAAAGAGGGTTATAAAACAAGTCATGGTGTCAATAGGGTATAAGCATCTTTGCTTTGCCAAAATGATGTTTTAGGGTATAAGCATCTTTGCTTTGCCAAAAAGAGGATACTTATGCCTTGTCTCAAATGCACACATAGAAGAATAAGAGAGACATCCTGCTGGAAAAAAAATTCCAGCAAATGCCCCTGGTGGTTGCTTCTAAGGCATATCATGTTGCTAGAGAGAACAAAAAGCATGTTCTAATCAACACAGACAACAGAAAGAGTATCAAATGTGTGCTTGCTTTTTGCAAATGTTCCATGTAGGCATAAATACCTCCTCTCTAGATGCAGGCACTGCTTTTAACCTCTCAGGAACTGCTGATGCCCTCTCTAGTTCAAATTTTACTCTAGGTTCAGGAACTGCTGATGCCCTCTCTGCTTCAAATCTTACTCTCCGTTCAGGAATTGCAGATGTCCTCTCTGCTTCAAATTTTACTCTCTGTCCAGGAACTGCAGATGCATGAGGATCCGACAGTTCCACATTTTGTGGCAAAATTTGACTATGAGAAGCCTCATCTAAGTAGGATAAGAAGTGAATTCAATTTCAATTAGCATTGACATAACATTGAGATGAAATTAAATTGGGTTGCAATAAATCAGCTTTCAGGTCATATGACCATTCCAACAGCATATTAAAAAAATCTGACTGATTGTCTTTTCACAAGTAAATGATGTTCTTCTATAATACAGTGACATGATCAGTAAAATAGAAGCCATGTTTCTTGTATGTTACCCAAAAAATAAATTAATTAGAAGACTTGCTCTATGAAAAATATACACAATTCTAGAGTGATTCATTTAAAACATATCATGCGAGGGAAGCATGAAGTTGTGCCACACTGAAGCTAAAAGGACATATTGATACCATGGATTTAAGTTACTGCATTTTGCCATTTATAGATTAAGCCCGGCCTTTATGTAAACAATCTTAAATTTCTGAAAATCATACATTGCTCAATTCATATTCAATTCCTAGTTGCAGTTTCCATGTTAGTTTTTAATATGCATAAGAAGAACATCACTTGTGCTGTTTGAGGTACCGCCATCTCCGCTTTGAATTGCTTATCGTGTTAATTCAACTGCAACATCAGAATGTAGAAGTTGAATTCTCACCATCAAAGAATTCAAGTGAAGTGCTTGTATTATAAATGACAAAATATTTTTTCATAATGCATAATAACACTAATATTAAAATTTGAATTAAGAATCAATTAGGTAATACTTGAAATCCTACCAAAAACGAATTCAAGGTGGGGATGGTGATAACACAAACATCAGAAATTTGGTTCTATGCATATGAAGACAAATATGATAATTAGATTTAGGAATTGAATGATAACCAGACAAACCATAACTTTGTTCGAAGCTCAACTTTAACAATTAAAGAATATTGCACATACATTTCCTTTTGACAAACCATTGCACATAAGTACCCTCTCCCAAACCTTAGCAAGCTCTATAGAGTTAATGATCAGACTCTTTAAAGATTAATCTATAGCCTTGAAATCTTTAGCATTTAATCTAGATGCATGACAAAAAGATTCAACAGCCAATGCACAATCCTGAACACACCAAATAATAGAAGACAAAAGTTGTTAAAATATTAATAATGCAACTGGTTAAAGAACTAGATCCCTTGGGAAAAGCTTCAGATTAGTAAAAGCATTCATATGCCAATGATTTGTTATTT